GTAAAGATGTGAAATGGTAAGATGATCACACTGGAAAAACCTCTGTGAGGAAAGATATGTTTTAAAGTGTCATGAAAGCAAAGATGAGTACCTATAACATCTACCATACAAATTTATTAACACAAATCTTTGGTAGGCTAGAAACAGTATTATCAACTGGCAAACAGATATAACATTTATCTAATTCTTTGTGCTAGGTACTGCATACATTTCATATTGTCTTCAGGGTACCATATAAAGGATAGTGAACACAGGTTCTGGAGTCAAACAGTCTGGATTCAAATCATGACTCTCTCTTCTTACCAATGTGACTTTTCGCAAGTGACTTAATTTTTGTGAGTCTCGTGCAAACTGAAATGACAGTACTACCTACCTCTAAGTGATAGTGAGGGTTAATAGTGTGCACAGAGTACTTAATCCAGTGGTGAAGGTGTGAGTAAACGAGTAGCAGACATTAGCAATGATTACTACTATTTGTTGTGAAGTGTTTTATTCTGACCTTGCCAGCATTTGGTTCCCATTCATATAAATGAAAAATCGTAAGTCATTAAAATTCTGAGCTTCTTTTAGCCTAGAGCAACACATGAGGGTGAGAAGAGCCTTGCACAGAACATTTTGCAAAGGGAGAAATATTAACATTTGACAGCAGCTGGTCTGCAGGTGCTCTAATTAGTTTGGCCAAAGGGTCCAAGATTATCGATCTCAGTGTCAGAACACTACTGAATAGAGGTTTCCATAGTGACAGACTCAGCAATCAGAGACCATGAAATCAGCACTCTTCATAGATTTCTACTGAGCCAATTCATTTTTAGTGAAAAATATTGTGATTCCTTTGAGACGTATGGGGAAACCTCAGAAGGGATACTGCTTGATAACCTTTGAGAACCCTCCTCAAAGTTAAAGAAAACCAGAACATCCAACACAGGAATACAAAGGAGCTGTTACTCTGCAAATTTAACAGAAGGGTTTCTTCTTAAAGTAATATTGTGCAGAATTTGGTAGACTGTCCCACTATAAGCATGTGTCTTCTATGAATAAAGAAATATTAGACAAGGAAGAGTTCTTTAGGGGAAAAGGACTACTTAAATCTAGTAAACAAATACTTCTAAATAACAATTACATATTTAATTACCCCGATGCATCCACTCTCAATTTCTTGAAAGCAGTTTGTAGACTCTCCTCTTCTCCATCCTTGGCTTCAGATTTCATTGTTAAAGGTTTTACACTACTATGGATGTTCCCGTTAATTCTAAGACAGAAAATAAAAATAAGATGAGCAATGTGGAAATAGGCAGGATCAAAAGTATACCTCTTGTTAAAATCCATATTCCTGATATAACTTCTATCAGAAGAAAAAAATGTAAATTTTCATTTCTAAAAGAAAGTCTCAGTGTAGATGCCTGGGAGGTTGTGGGTTTTATTTAAGATGAAACAAATGAAATCAAACAGAAAATATATATGTATTCTGATGGGACTTAAACTGTACAAATAACTGATGCCAATACTGTGTAAGACACTTTTGGAATGGGAATCATCTGAAATCTACATTTTCACATACTTCTGAACAGGGGAAACCTCTCCAATGATAGAGGACTAGAAATCTTCAGACAAAATGACCTTTACATCAGAAATAAGAGGGAAAAGCTCATACTACGGTGCTTTGATTCTTTAAAATGATAACTTTTTGTCCAAACTCTAACAATTCCAATTTAGTATAACTTCATGATAAATGATAGCATTTCTCTCAAGCAATTCTGATCCAGATATCAATATTCACGAAGACACGTTTTAAAGAACAAGATGCTTTAATCTTGTTAAAGCAAGATTAGAAGTTTATTTCAATTATTGATTATTCTACACTCTACTTATAAGGCTGATACTTTCATTTTTTTTCCCCTCATAGCTTTAAATACTGTAATTGTTAAGCAAAAAAGAAATAAATGGACTATACTTTCATAAAGAACAGACCAGACCTTTTCTTTAGACAAAAAAAGAATTAGGAAGTAAAGTAAAAATTACACATTACTGTTCTGTAGATGGGCCCTTAAACAACCTCCTCTAACTAAAGTTCTCAATTCCTTTTTACCTTGATTTTTGTATTTAAGCAGAGACAGGAGAATGAAGTACCAATCAAGGCAGCAAGAAACACAACAAAGAAGTCTGTTAATAAACTCTAGAATCTAATCTCTAAATTACTTTCACTCGGGGCAATAAACTAATCACTTTCAAATCCTGAACAAAAAAATAGCAAACCAGTATCTGTGAACATATCACAGGGAATCAGAAATTTTCTTTAAGTCAAACAAAAAGCAGATGACAGAAAAATGTTAGCACCAAGCCCATTCCCCCGACTCCTCTCAGGCACTCTGGGATGCAGCAAGGACTCTCTGCGGACCTGTGGGTCCTCTGATTCCACAGCTGCTCATTTCTCAGAGGTGAGTTTGATGTTATTGTGAGACCTCCAATATTCTAAAGGTCAAGGTGTCATAATATGTTTGATATAATGTAACCATGTAGTATCCATGGTATAATAAAGAAGCAAGGAATCGAGTCTTTTCACTTCATTTATTCATGTGTAGAAATTAGAGTATTTTAGCCAGATCTTTTTGGGGAACACTGCAAACAGCGAAGAATTCTGCTAGCTTTCAGCTTAAGTTCTTAGGACAAAATTTAAATACTCTCTCCACACAGATTTTGCTGGTTTATTTAACCAGCGCGGGAACATTAGGAAACCTTTATTCATACAAGTCCTGCTCCAGCAGTCTCTGATTCTTCTCAATTTAAGTAGAATCCTCTCCATCTCACCACCCAAAACCCAATAACCCATAATAATCTACATACCTGGGGGAGGAATGAACAGAGATCACACATCTAGTACATTTCAAACTCCACAGCATCTCAAAGGATGCTCTTGCGGAGTGTAAATATATTCTCCCCGCTGACAGAACTGAAGTCTGACGTACAGTTCTTAATTACCTTATGATCTGTTAAACACACACTGCCTATGGCCCTTTAGAGAGTTAATAAACATCTGAGCCAGTCTCCTCAACCTGTAGACCCCACACAAACCCTCTCTGGCCTCTCTAGAGATCAGTCAATATTTAAGTACCCGTCACATCTAAGTACTCATTGCTAGACTCTATAGGCAGAAATTCAGTCCTTCCACAAATATGTACAGAATTCCTGCCATGTGCTTGGTCAGACTGAACGCTAGGGATAGAAGGGTGAACCCAACACACAGAAAGCCTGTAAACTCCATGTCTGTAAGGTCTAGAATCTCATTTCTGGCTCCCAGCAGCTCACAATATAACACTGTGTTAACAAAAAAATGTTGCACCCAGATATGTAACTTAATTACACAGTGCTGACTTACTAGCAGGGCAGATGATCACCCTAGATACAATAATACACACTTAGCTAGCATTCCGGTTGACACACTAAAGGATCCATCATCTAAAAACCCAAAACAGACCCAAATAAAAACCTGGCTGCAGACTAAAAGTTCAGGAATGAAGTTCTATCTCAACTACTTTCAGACTTGCAGCATCCTGATTAATTTTTCTGCTGTGATTTTAATCCACAGCGAGAGTGAGTCTTGGGCATGACCTGAGGAGCTAGATCAGAACGTGTTTGTAATTAACAAAAGGTTTACTGTGCGCCTCGAGATTTCCAACTTCCCATTCACTCAACGCAAGAGCTGTCCGAGCGACTCCGAACAGCAGATATACAACAGGTCTGCTCTCCTTGACATTAAACTTGTGGCAGACACTCTCGAAGTTTTCACTGCAGCGACTTAATCCCCACAGAGATTAAACCCATGAAGATCTATTAAAAGTTACTTTGTAGCAAGTCGAATGACACCGGGCAATTAAACTTCGCCTCGGATTTCCCCCTCAGCGCTCAGAAGTAAGTTCTCTTACGTCCCTCCGTCAGGGGGAACACTCCTGCTTTTCTCGGGCTTTTCGACGCCGAGCCGGTGTCACAATCCTAGCTGCCCCTCGCCGTTTTAACCCAGACCTCCTGGAGGGGTCGGCGCGAGTGTCCTCACAATGTCCAAGACTTTCAAACTTCCCCAGGCCGCCGGGAGGCGCGGAAGAAGCCCCGGTCCAGGAAGCCTCCAACAGGCGAGAGGAGCGGCCCCCGGGACAAAAACACACACTCGCGGCCCCCTCCACGCACGACGCACGGCGCTGGTTCTTTTCACCCAGAAGCCGGGAGGGCTCGGAGAGCGGGCACAAGGCCGCGGGGGAACTGTCCAGGGCCCCGGCTCTGCCCCCTCGGGAGACTTCTCGGGCCAGAACCCAGGCTGGAGTGGGGCCGAGGCGCCAGGGACACCGCAGGAGACGGCGGAGGAGCCGGGGGCAGCCCGCGAGAGCCGGGCTCGGAGCAGAGCGGGAAAGGGCGGGAAGGGGCAAAGGGCGGCTGAAGGGAGCGAAAAGGGGAAGCTACGGCCGGGCGGGAGACGGCGGAGGAGCGCGAGCGGGCGGGGGCTGTGAGGCGACAACAAGGCGGGAAGGGGCGACCGCGCGGAACTCCGGCCGGGCCAGGCCGCGGCGGATCCGGGGGCGCTGGGACGCCCAGGCCCGAACCCGGGCAGTCGGCGCCCGGAGACGACGCGACGAGAGGCGGGCGGGCCCCCAGGGAGCCGCCCGCCGCCAGGCCGGGCCCGCAGGCCGCGTCGCCGTGCCGCGGCCCCTCCCCGTCACGTCAGGGCCCTTACCTCCTCGCAGCTGGAGCGCTCCGGTGATCCGGTGCCGTCAGTTCAGATCGTCTCTCCCCGGTCGCCGCGCCTGACTGACCCGGATCCACACCAGCGGACGGGGCGGCCCGCGCCTCCGGAGCCGCACTGCGCCTGCGTCACCCAGGCACGCGCCCCGCCCTCCGCGCAAGCCCCGCCCGCCCCAGTGACTCGGCAGCGCGGCCGACGGCTGCTGCGCAGGCGCAGGGCGGCAGCCGCGCCTCTCTAACGCCTGGTGCCCGCCCCTCTAGGAAGCACGTGCGCCTGACGTCATTTCCTGTTATTCTTTTCTCTCCCTCCTCCCTCTGGCGTGGCTTTGCTCACGGTCTGTTTTTGGGGCGTGCCTGCTTCCTCTCTGTCAGGTGAGTGAGTACTCGCTGTTCGCCGTCGTCCGGCCGCCTCCACTTCCTCGGGGGCTCCCTTTACCCGCAGTCCCCCAGAACACGCAGTTCCGCTCGGGGTCTGAGCCGTGTGCGGAGTCTCCGGGGCGGCTGAGCCCCGTCGGGGCGCTCGCCCGGAGTCTCCTCGGTGGCGGCGGAGTCTGGACCCCCTGCGACATCTCCTGGCTCCGGCGCCAGCCTGGCCTCCTGGGGATCTTTCGGGGCCTGCGGAGAGCCGGAGGAGTTGGCCCGGCGCAGGGCCGCGGCTGTGAGGCCGGAACTGGGGGGGAAGTGCCGAGGCACCGCTTCTCCCTCTCCGCATCTCGGCTTCTCCGTCTGTGGCGCTGGGCTGTGTCAGCGCATCTCCTCTTTTCACGCTGATCTCCGGGAAGGCCGTGAGGCCCGTCGAAACGCACCCGCACTGCGTATTTGGCAAAAAGGCGTAGGCGGCTCGCCCACGGCGGCGATCGTCGGGGTCTTCCAGTCCTGATCCTGCTCACTCGGGAGGCAGGGAAGGAGCGATCTGGCGTGGCCGACGCCTTCATCGCGGGGCCTAGTTTTGCTGATGCGGCCGCGCGTGTCCCTGCCTGCAGTCTACGCATCGCGAAGCTTCCTGGGAAGAGATGCCTCTTCTCGGGCTGCGTTGTGGCGAGGGAGCGCAGCAGCTTAAGTTGCCGCCTGCAACGTCCTCATCCCGGAAGGGCACCTGTTGAATCCCGGCTGCTCCGCTTCTGATCCGGCTCCCTACTAATGCGCCTGGGAAAGCAGCGGATGGCCCAAGTGCTTGGACCCCTGCACCCACGTGGGAGACCTGGAAGAAGCTCCTGGCTCCTGGCTGGCCCAGCCCTGGCTGCTGTGGCCATCTGGGGAGTGAAACAACGGATAGAAGATTTCTCTGTCTCTCCCTCTATCTCTGTAACTCTCAAATAAATAAATCTTTAAGAAAAAAAGAAGGAAGAAGGCTGGCTTTTCTCAATAGAGTTGGTTCTAGCCCTGCCCTTTTTTTTCATGAGTCCAAACCGGCCCCTCGCAACTCTCCTCGGTACCACAGGGGTACCACCCAACTGGACTAAATCCAACTGAACTACAGCCAGACCTTGGACGGCCTGGACCAGGTCTGGGAATAAAATCTGCAGTTCATGGAATAGGCCTTCCAGCTTCCGGTGTGAAAGGGATAGCCATACTTTGAATTTTGATCTTTCGCTCAGCTATTGATAATGTGGCACAGGATACACTCCTGCGATGTGGGCAGTGGCAGTGAGCCTAGCTCCCAGGCAGCCCTGTGACCCCAGGGTCTACAGCTGGCACTACACAGTGCGCTGTGTTACTAAGCCACAATGGTCAGTAAGCTAAATGTATTACGTACGTTATGAGAGTTACTTATGGCTGGCGCCGCAGCTCAATAGTCTAATCCTCCGCCTGCGGCGCCGGCACACTGGGTTCTAGTCCCGGTCGGGGCGCCAGATTCTGTCCCGGTTGCCCCTCTTCCAGGCCAGCTCTTTACTTTGGCCCGGGAGTGCAGTGGAGATGGCCCAAGTGCTTGGGCCCTGCACCCCATGGGAGACCAGGATAAGTACCTGGCTCCTGCCATCGGATCAGAGCGGTGTGCCGGCCGCGGCAGCCATTGGAGGGTGAACCAACGGCAAAAGGAAGACCTTTCTCTCTGTCTCTCTCTCTCACTGTCCACTCTGCCTGTCAAAAAAAAAAAAAAAAAAAGAGTTACTTATTTATTTGAAAAGCAGAGCAGGAGGAGAAGAGGGAGAGAGGTTTCCATCCTCCCCAATGGCTGCAACAGCCAGGTCTGGGCCAGGCCCAAGCCAGGAGCCACGAACTCCATCTGGGTCTCCATGTGGGTGGCAGGGGCCCAGTCACTTGGGCCATCTTCTGCTGCCTTCCCACGTACATTAATATGGAGCTGAAACAGCAGAGCAGCCAGGACTCAAACGTGCATTCCCGTGCGGGTTGTCAGCCTTTCACACCCCGACTTAACCTGCTATGCCATGACACTGGACCCCAAAATGTGTTTTTGACTGTACATATTTCCAACATAAGTTGGGTTTGTTGGGATGTAATTCCATTGTAAGTCAAAGAGCATCTGTGTAAGGTTGTTAAACCTAAAGCGCGTAGTGAGTCCTAGGTAAAGCATTTTCATTCTCTTTGTGTTCATACCGGAGGCTCAGCAGCTGACAGGTGAAAGGTTAAGCTGCTGCTTGGGATGCCCCACTCTGCTTCCCACCCAGCTCCCTGCTAGTGTGCACCCTAGGAAGTAGCAGATGATGGCTCAAGTACCTGGGTCCCTGCCAGGCATGTGAGAACCCAGATGGAGTTCCTACCTCCTGGCTTTGGCCTGGCCTAGCCCAGCTCAGGCTGTTGAAGGCATTTGAGGAGTGAACAAGCTGATGGGAGATTCTTATTCATATTCTCTCTCTCGTTCTCATTCTGCCTTTCAAATACATAAATATAAATAAATAACCCACTCATTGTAGCCTAACGATGCTAATAGTAAAGGCTGCCCTCCGCTGAGGAGCAGTTACAGACGTATTCTCTCATTTAATCATCCTGAGATTTTACACATTCTGCAAGGAGGATGACTGGGTCCCAGGAGATTAGAAAACCTGTTCTGTGTTGCACAGTGCTAGTAAGTCAGGAGCTAAACCATCTGAAACCTTGCCATCCACAGCACTCTTGGAGAAGAGTAAGGAAGAGGGAGGCTTGATGCTGGTTTTTCCCAGAGGTTGCCAAGTGAATATTGTCAGGACCAAACACTTCAGGTGCCCTTGGAAATTGTAGCTTCTGGCAGAAGCTCATACATCCTTGAGAGCGAGGGCTGTATCAAGGTCACTGTTGAATTCCCAGAGCATAACACTGTTCCTGGGAGTTAGCAGATGCTCAGTACAGCCCTGGAGAATGCAAGGTCACAGTCTTGACAGAATTTATCTTCCTCAGGACATGAATGCCCTCCTGGCAGAGGTAATCTGCAAAAGTAGTGTTTTCTTATGTTTTAAGCCTCAAATAATTTATTCCTTACCTTGATATACTTTTTTTTGAAAAGATTTATCTAGTTATTTGTAAATCAGAGTTACACAGAGAAGAAGGAGAGGCAGAGAGAGAGGTCTTCCATCCACTGGTTAACTCCCTAATTGGCTACAGCAGCTGGAACTGTGCCGATCCAAAGCCAGGAGCCAGGAGCTTCTTCCAGGTCGCCTATGCAAGTGCAGGAGCCCAAGGATTTGGGCCATCTTCTACTGCTTTCCCAGGCCATAGCAGAGCTGGATCAGAGGTGGAGCAGCCAGGACTCAAACCAGTGCTCATATGGGATTCTGGCACTTCAGGCAGCAGCTTTACCCACTATGCCACAGCGCTGGCCCTGATATACTTTTATTTTTATTTTTATTTATTTTTTGACAGGCAGAGTGGACAGTGAGAGAGAGAGACAGAGAGAAAGGTCTTCCTTTTTGCCATTGGTTCACCCTCCAATGGCCGCCGCGGCCAACGCACTGCGGCCGGCGTACCGCGCTGATCCGATGGCAGGAGCCAGGTACTTATCCTGGTCTCCCATGGGGTACAGGGCCCAAGCACTTGGGCCATCCTCTACTGCACTCCCTGGCCACATCAGAGAGCTGGCCTGGAAGAGGGGCAACCGGGACAGAATCTGGCACCCCGACCGGAACTAGAACCCGGTGTGCCAGCACTGCCGCGGCGCCGGCCCCTGATATACTTTTTAAAATTACTTTGTGGGGGTGGGGCTGGCGCTGTGGCATAGCAGGTAAAGCCTCCACCTGCAGTGCCGGCATCCCATATGGGCGCCAGTTCGAGTCCTGGCTGCTCCCCTTCTGATCTAACTCTCTGCTATGGCCTGGGAAAGCAGTAGAAGATGGCCCAAATCCTTGGGCCCCTGTACCTGCATGGGAGACCTGGAAGAAGCTCCTGGCTCCTGGCTTCGTATCAGCACAGCTCCGGCCATTGCAGCCAATTGGGGAGTGAACCAGCAGATGGAAGACCTCTCTGTGTGTAACTCTGACTTTCAAGTAAAAGAAATCTTTAAAAAAATAAAATAAAATAAAATTACTTTGAGATAGAAAGTAGTGATGATAATAGTAATCAATGTGTCTTCATTTGCAATTATTAACCTTCATGAACAACTTGTGAAATACTTTTATTATGTCCATTTTACAGCTGAGGAAACTGAGGCTCAGAATAGTTAGTTAACTTGCCCAAGACCACATAGCAGCAGAATGGGAATTCTAATCAGGGCAGTGTAACTCTACACCCGCACTCCTGAATGCGGAGTCACACAGCAGCACTTGGCTCCCAGCCCTATACCGCTGCATGTCTTACTAGACCGGGAGTACGCACTTCCACCTGGGGAATACAGCTGGGTTGGAGAAATCTGCCCAGGATCTGGAACCATGATCCAGCTACACTTGCCTGGAGTCCTTGGACCTACCAGACACACTCCCCTCCTAAGTCTCTGTATGTGATGTTTCCTCTGCTGGATCACTGTTTACCCACAGTGCATCTCTGATTTAATCTCTGCTCATGTGGTTCCCCGGGGAACCGTCTCTGGCCACCCCGGGAACTCCTTGCACTCTGTATCCACTTACCCTGATTTAGTTTTCCTTACGGCATGTATTTTCCACCTGTCAATATGTCTTGGTTGTTGGGCCCTCTCACTAGAATCCAAATGACCTGAGGACAGTTTGCCTCTTTTCTTTATCATTACTTTTTTTTTTGTTTCAATGGAATCTAAGATACTTATTGTCTCTTAATTTAGCCCTCTGAAAATCTGGATATGTCTTTTTTTTTTTTTACAGGCAGAGTGGACAGTGAGAGAGAGAGACAGAGAGAAAGGTCTTCCTTTTGCCGATGGTTCACCCTCCGATGGCCGCCGCGGCCCACACACCACGCTGATCCGAAGGCAGGAGCCAGGTGTTTATCCTGGTCCCCCATGGGGTGCAGGGCCCAAGCACTTGGGCCATCCTCCACTGCACTCCCTGGCCACAGCAGAGAGCTGGCCTGGAAGAGGGGCAACCGGGACAGAATCCAGCGCCCCGACCGACCGGGACTAGAACCCGGTGTGCCAGCGCCGCTAGGCAGAGGATTAGCCTATTGAGCCGTGGCGCCGGCCTGGATATGTCTTGTAATCAGTAATGTGCCCTGGCATAATTGCTAGTTTTTTCTTTCTTAATTGTACATACAAAAAAAAAGTTGAGTCTTTAAAACAATGATGTTTTAGAGTTGATGAAAATTACAGTATAGTGGCGGGCATTTGGCCTGGTGGTTAAGACTCCCACCTCCCCTGTCGAGTGCCTAGATTCAATGCCTGCTCCGACTCCTGACTCCTGACTCTGGCTTCCTGCTAATGCAGACCCTGAGGGGCAACAGGTAATGGCTCAGGGGGTTGGCTCCCTGTCACCCACACTGGGGCCCTAGCCATGAGTTCTAGACTTTTGGCATTGGCCTATCCCAGCCTCAAGCACTTGTGTTTGGAGAATGACCCAGCAGATGGGAGGTAGTATTCTCGCTGGCTTTCTCTTTCTCTCTCCTCTCCCTTTCCCTCTCTGTCGCTCCCCCTCTTCGTGGAGGAACGACACCAAGCCCTGCCTAGGCTCCATATCCGAGTCACGGCACCATTATGTCGCTCCCCCTCTTCGTGGAGGAACGACACTAAACCCTGCGCTGTTCTTTCGTCTGCTCGGCTCTCCCCGGGTTTGCTGCTGGTTCTTCCCGGGTTGGCTACTATCCCTTCCACCTCCGTGGAAGGGCAGTTCCCCCTGGCCACATTCCCCACTTCCGCAGGGGAGCGGCACACCGCCGGCCGGCTTTCTCGGGGGCTGCACAGGTGTTCCCCTTAGATGTTCCCCTTAGATGTTCCCCATAGATGTTCCTGGTGCATGCCGTCTCTCTCCTCCTTTATAGTCCTCCTCCGCCAATCCTAACTCGGCTGCCCACA